TCGTGATCAATAACTATGTATGTGAATAGTATCAGTAACCATCTAATATTTATTTTTCAAAACTTTTAATCATGTTTGCATAAGTGAGGTGTGATAAAAATACTAAATGATAATACTTGTGAACTGTGTGGAACTATTATACTGTGTGAGATGAAGACAACTACAATATATATATATATATATATATATATATATATATATATAATATATATATGAAGAAATTAGGGTTTTGAAAATTAATTATAATAATAATAATTACAAAATAAATTAAATAAATGTGAAAAAATTATCTACACATCAAAACGTGCCAGTTGTATTACAACCGATAATACGCAATAGTAGAAATAATGCAAAAAATTACACAATTAAACAAGAATAATTAATAAAAAAATATAATTTCTTATACTTAAAATCAAATAATTATATGATAATTATCTACATGATAAAACGTACTAGTTGTACTAATACGACAGTTGATACGTAATTATAGAAATAATACAATAAATTATACAAATAATATGTAATTAATAATACAACATAATACATGAAATAATATATAATAATAGTAATACAATGTATTATTTAAAATAATACTAATAGTATCGACAATACAATGGATTAATTCTAGAAATTTTTACCGCACAAAATTAATTTATAAATATTAATATCATTTAAATAAGTATAAAATCACATTTTTAAATCATAGAGGATCTAGAAAATCAAGAAAATACAAATACTCTTTTTAAAAATAATAATTAAATATTTAAAATACTAAAAAAATATTTTAACTATTATTAAAAATTTATGGTCCTTACATTCTACCCCCTTAAAACAAATTTCGCCCTCGAAATTAAAATAAGATATGCACGATATCATATAGTAATTTGTAAAGAAAAAAATAATATATATAATAGTTGATAATAGAAAGAAAAAAACATATCAATAATGGACATAGATAAAAGATATAAAAATATATACAACAATCATATAATTATGTATTCATAACATTTACACAATGAACATAATATCAAAAATACCAATAACCATTATATCATTATACATGTTAGAATAACCAAATATGATACAAAAACTATAAAACCAATATACATAAAGAATAAATATAATACAATATTTGAACTGCCATGTAATAATATCCAAAACAATAATCAATTATGGACATAATCAGTTAACTAAAACAGTAATACAAAGATTTGTGTATATAAAAAAATTAATAAATACATCAATTGAAATAATTAATGAATAGGTAATAAAATACAATATTAAAGTTAAATATACACAACCTAACAAAAAAAAAACAACTAATAACTACAGCAAAATATCTACAATGTGCAAAATCTATATATAACTAAGTTGTATAAACTTATAACACTCATTTCACATACTAAAATAAACTATGAAACTACTGATGAAATGTAAAAGAAATAACTATGTTAACCAATAAACAATATAACCCAATAACACAAACAACAAATAAATTAATAAAATTAAAGACAACATAAAAAGACATACAAGAAAACATATAACTTGATAATAACCAAACTGTAATGATAACAAAACGCGTACATGAAAAGTAAAATGTGACTAAAATTATGTGGTAACATACACAGCAAACATGTATAAATACATGTACATGTACAATACGTAGAATTAATAAAATAAATGCAATACAAAATAAAAATAACTACACTATAACATGACCACAAACAAAAATTATAATAAAAACATAATTAATATTGAATCACAATAAGTATAGCAATACACAAATTGAAACGTGAAAACATGAGCAAGAAGACACTGCATAAAATATAAAACTCACTAACTACAAAAATATTTCGACTAAATACGTAACCATAATATAATATGTAAAAACCAAAAATCAAAACTAAACAAACACACACATTGTAACAACCTTTAATAACCCTATACACAAACTATAAAGCCATAACACCATACACTCCCACCGAAAATAACAACTCTTATTTAAAGAAAAATATAAGAATAAAACGATATTGATATAATATGATCTATGAAAAAATACAAGAATAAGAGAAACAAAACAGAAGAGTAACACAATATAAAATAACACAAGTCAAAATAATGAAAAATATCAATCTGACAAAGAAAAATATAATTGAAGAACTCAATGCATTCAAATAAGTAACGAACAATTTGATAGTATAAACTCAAAATAAATTAACACATACAAAAATCGTAGAATACACTGGAACATAATTGTTTACTAATAATACAGACACTCACAAACATACTACTAAATAAAGAAGTATAATATATAAAAATAAAACCTATGAAAGGTAAAATAAGTATATAAGCAAATGAAAACGTAATAAGAGCATAATTCCGTATAATAAATACACTGATATATTTTAGATAAACATGGTTACATAGTTGATACTAGAAATAATGAAAGACTATAAATCAATAAAAATTATACATCGTAAATATAATAATCTACGTGAATACACCAAAATGAAAAGAGAATAGTAAATATAAAAATAATGAGAAGGTAAAACACAACACAAGTAACAAAAATAATGAATAGAGACTGAACAACAAACAATGACACAATAAAAGATATAAATATCTAAAATACCATAAAATAAGTAAAAAAAATAACATGCATATATAACGTATATTGATACAATGACAAAACAATATATATCGAAAACAAAGCAAACAAACAGCAAATATACAAATACACTATAACAAACCATGAATAAGTACTTTACATACTCATAAATACTATTTAGAATAATCTTTTATATTATTTATAAAAGGATAATAATTAATATAATAAAATAACTATATAATTAGTAACTCAACTCTAAACTTAACAATATGAATAATTGCTTAAATATTAAAATCCAAATACATGGCTTTTTAAAATAACAAAACCAATGCGAACATACCAAAATAATCTAACAAGACAAAACTTACTGATGATAAACTATATACTAAAAATGTAAAGGATAATAATATAGTGCATATGTAGAATATTAAATTCATGAACTTATTAAAGTATATTACTAAAAATACGAATAATATACAATAATCTAAAACATAAGTAAATAACAGGTGGTATGACAGATAAGCGCACACATACACAATATAAATATGCAAAAGTATATTTTAAATACAAGAAAATAATCTGAATATCAGATATGCTATATAATGTGTGTGTGAAGCCTAGAGCAATGCAAAACACTTAATGATATGACTTGAATAATTGAAAATATATAAGTAATGGTATATATTTTTAATGAAAAACACATAATATAACACTGAGTATGATACATAAAATAATATAATAAATAATACAGAAATCAATACAATTAAACGATATATAAGTCAAATCAAAGAAAACATAGTTGTAAAAATAATAACGCATAAAATAATGACCAGTACAGGAAAGAGAGGTTATACAAAGAGAGGGTAATTGCAAAGCGATGGGACAAGGACCGTGAAAAAACTCCAGAGTCAAAGAGTGATAAGATAGGAATGAAACAAAATCTATCAAGAAGTAGGATAATGGCTCAAGATTAGTCTCGCGGATAAAATATGATATGTATCTAAATTGTCTACTATATTCTTACGAGTGAGGACTCGGGACCGTGACTGCATGGGCCACCAACAAAACCTGTCACGCCCAGCTTCCCAAAATACCCGGGAATCGGAACGTGAACAAGCCTGCGACGTATTAGATCAAGGAGAATAAATAAAATAATCATTTCTCCTCAACCTAATACGCTAAGCGTCTGGAAATAAATACAATGCGAAGTCACAGGTCCCCGATCACAGATAGCAAGAATATAAAGACAACTAAGAATAAGATATAAACATATCATCAAGCAGATCATCCTAGACAAAAAAATACGGGTCAAACATGCCCTTATACAAAAACTGAACAATGCGATATAGGCATGGATTTCTTAATGATATGCAGGTGTATAATGGGCAATATATGAGACATTAAACAAGTTTGGGATAGGATATACAAAGCTCAATGAAACTTTCCAAAGTGTTTATTTTTTAAAAAAAGAGAACGTTCTAGACGGAAATTCCGTCTAGGATGAGTATCCGAGACGGAAATTCCGTCTAGGATGTTTTGGATATCCTAGACAGAATTTCCGTCTAGGATAACCATCATAAATGGAAAATTTTTCCGTCTAGGATAACCATCCTAGACGGAAATTCTGTCTAGAATAATCCATCTAGGATTATCCTAGACGATTTTAAATTCCATCTAGGATGTATTCTAGACAGAATTTTCCGTCTAGAATACTACATTCTAGACGGAAACTTCCTAGACGCGTATCCTAGACAGAATTCCGTCTAGAATACTCATCCTAGACGGAAATCTGATTTTCCTAGACGGAATTTTCCGTCTAGGATGTCTCATTTTTTACTTGTGAAAGGAAATTACAAAATAACAAGTTAGGACAAAAATTATAACCCCTTCAAAACATATTTCATAAGTAGAATGATTCACACAAGAAACACTCTTTTAAAAGAAAACAATTGAATAAATCATGTATTAAAATCGTTATAAGCTCCCCAATTCTTCTAAGTTGTCTCAAAATTAGCCTCCTAAACTAGTCTCCAAGTTCTTAGCAGTAGACTCAAAATTAGCCAGTCAAAAGGGACGGAAGCAAAATATAAGAACGGGGGATGTAACCAGTAGCAATTTCCAAATTTGGAAATATTCGTCGCCAATAACTACATTAAAAGAAAAGAAATAACTGAAGTCAATTTAAGAAACATTAGTTGGGATAATTATTAGCGTACATCTTCCGCTGCCTGAGCTTGGTTTTGGCGGGAGTTTCTAACGAACAGATGATCTCAGCCGTCCATCGCATCTCCTGATCACCGCCATTAGAACACCCTCCCTTCTCCTCTCCCTCCTTATATCCCCCAAACCTCTCAAGCCTAGGGTTTTCAATTCGGCTGCCGATCGCTCGAATTTCAAACCCTAGCCCTAAATTCTCATCTCCTTCAAATTTAAAGCTTCCATCTTTTTTTTTTGTTTGCTTTCCAAAGCTAAGGATTTTCAACATTGATCGATGATGGAGCCCCCTTCTTGTCCTGGATTCGAGTTTAACCCTGGGGATGATCACCTGCTGACTTTCTACCTCCCCAGAAAGATCGCCGGAGGACGAGATGCCCTCGCGATCCCCAACTATCTGATCCGTGATTTCGATGTGTATTCTACCGAGCCCTGGAATCTGCCTCGTAAGTAATTTTAATGCCATTTTGGTTTTTCTTTTTAGGGTTTTTTAGAATAAGGATAGAAATTAGATCAATTTATCAAGAATGCATCTTGACCATGTGGTTTTCTAGTTTTGTAATTTTTCTTTATGATTATTTGCCTAATTTTCTTCTATTCCGCAGAACCTGCAATTGCCCATGTAAAATTAAGCTGCTTAGTTGGTTGCTTTGACAACAAATCAGTTGTATGGACTATATATTGTAGTGAACTCGAGCTCAATTAGCTCCCTATAGTTGCTCATTTAATTCCCTGTTTTGTTCTGAGATCCTACTCTACTTTGTTGCATCACTAGTAATTGGTTCTGATGGTGATTCGAATGGATTTGTTCGCTAGACTGTTTGGTTGTTACATGGAACCTTGATCGAATGCAAGCATCTCTGATTTAAGAAACTAGCTTAGGGTAGAGATAGAAGAGTGGGTCACGTAATCAACAAGATATCTTGATTGGATGCTCTCACGTTTTGTGCTTTTTAAGGTTCACCAGTTACTTTAAGTGGTCTTTTATTCTAAAAGATGTAACCTTTTTTATTTTCGGTGTAAGAAGGCAGCTGTATGCATCTTAACCTCCCAGGCTATGCACGTTGCATATTTCCTGACTTTCCTATATGTGCTTAGGATTATTGTCTTCGCATTAAGATTTTGGGTATTAGCGGAATATAGGAGCAGTCAAAAAGTTAGTCTCTTCGTCATAAAAATGCAAGTTCTACAGGTTTGTCATATGAAAGAAGAACCTGAGTTAATAGTTTATTAATTAATTCAAGTAAGGTATTCCACATTTAGTATGTTTAACGAGAGTAATAATCATGCTTGTTTCCTTTAATTTCACTTGTGAGAACATGTAAAATTTATGCTTGTTTCTGTTCTGAATTGTTCTGAGCTCTACTTGTACCGTGTTCGGGTTATCGAATCCTTATGTTTGACGCATGCTCAAAACTTAACATCTGATTCCTTAAGTCTAGTATATTTCCTGCGTTTCATGGTGCCTACCAGTTCTAGATGATCAGAAATTGGCTAAAAATTGGAATCAATTCTTCATCAGAACTGTTACTGTGGTGCAGGCTTTATCTAAAAATTAACTTTTCATCGTTTTATGATGTCGTATTTCTCTTTGTACTTCATAAATTAGCCCTTCAGCTTTTCCCCTATTTTGAAAGTTTTCCTTTCTTCCCAGTTAGTAATTAGCATGATTGGTATCTCAAAGATTCTGACACACTTGATTCATGGTTTTCAGGGGACACATTTCGATACCAAAACAAGAAGAAGGACATGTATTTCTTCTCATGTAGACAACCAACCAGTGCAAATTCTAAAAGAGTTCAGCGTACTGCTGGACATGGTTTCTGGTACGGAGCAAGAGGAGATGAAAAAGTCTATTATGAATCTCAACATGTTGGGTATAAAACAGTCCTGACTTTTAAATATATCAAGGGGGGTAAGGAGATAAACAGTAACTGGATCATGCATGAGTTTCATCTCAAGCCTCCTGAGAACGGTAACAAGTTTGAGAGCAAGGTACTCTGCAGAATTCACATGAATAATACCAAGAAAGATAGTGAAGGAGGGGCAGATGCAGAGTCTGGTGTTGCGGCTCTAATTGAACAAGAAGAACAGGGAACAGCATCAGTAGTAACGAACATAAAGGAAAGGCCTCGAAAGAGGAAGCGGGTGGACGTTTCGTCGTCGTTACCGTCTACATCATCATCACTGCCTGCATTTGTTCCCTGCAAAGAAGCAGAAGCCTTGATTTCAACCTTGGATGAAAAGCCGCATACTGTTTTCGAACAAAAGGAAGAAGTGGATGAAAGGCAGGTGATAGAGATGTTGCTTAAGGAACACGAAGTGATGACAAATCATTCTATGGCAGCTGCAGAATTTCACAGTTAACACTAATGCATCTTCTTGGCCCTCGTCATCATTTCCATACTTATCATCATCATGGCTTTGTGCTCCTACTTTAGATTCTTATGAAGCATCATCCTCATTGATCAACGTTCTTCCACCAACATCGCAGGATGACGGGACATGGGAGGATTTGGACATTGATGTTAGTACTGTCTCTTATTTGGATGAGTTGATGGAATGTTTCACTGACTCTTGAGTTCTTATTGTAATGGTAATATTGCCCTTTTTTTGGTAATACAATTTGTTTGTTCATTCTTTTAACTGGGTGTAATCTGGTTTGTTGTTTATTGCTTTGTTTATCCTGTGCTTCTTAATATTTATAGCTATGTTACTCCGCGAGAATTGTTCAGATTATGATAATAATTAACTTTTTATGTTTAATATCTGCATTTTGGATGTGCTGATTACGACATGTTGGACCCAAGCTTGAGTTCTGTGTGTTTTAGCAAATACTGTTCACGAGTCATGACACTTGTTCTCCACCAAGATTAAATCCAACCAATGTGAATCTTTATTTTATCCATATTTAATAAAATAATTTCGTGGTCTTATTATTCTTTTGAACGAAGGTACTCCTTGAGCAAAAAATTATGAACAACATTTTCTTCTTGGAAGTAAATTTGCAACTTTAGATCTTGCAAATGATGATCGCATAACTTAGATGGTAGCAATCTGTAATTATGCAACCCATTGCGCAGTTGGCAAATGACCTGAACCAAAATCATATAGGTGAGGATAAATTTTCACTAATCTTTTTGTAGTTGTTAATTTGGTAGACTTAATTAGGCGTTTACATGTCAGGATTTGAGTAACATAAACAGAAGTTATATAAGGGATTATATTTAGGGCTTTACATATGCTATAAACATCAAGCAATTCCAGGTTCATTTAGCATAAAAAAAAGTAGAATTAGAACGAGTTATTATCAAGGATGAATCTGATACTAAGCTATGTAGATAACACATTTCTGATACAGAACTGATTTAGCATCTGATATTTCAAATGTTAACAGTTTCAAATTAAGAACTGCGAATTTTAGGAAACTATATCAATAATTCTGAAATCCTTGAGTAACGAGCCAATAAATTCTCACATGGTATCAAATATTTCCTCATTTCAGTGCTCTTGTTTTCAATAGCAGCTATTAGTTTGCTTTTATTCTGCCCTGTATTAACAAGAATATTATTCCAAAATAGGTTGGAATGCTTCAAGGCTAAAAGCTTGTAGAGAATATGTAACGCAGAAGTGTAGTACTTACTGTTTTGCTCTGACAGAGATGGATATATGGGTGCTTATAAATTTCATATTGAAATATGAGAAGCTTTATGCAGCCTACAGTGTCAAACTGTAAACATCAAACGATGTGAAACATATTTATAGTAGTAACTAGACTGAGATATTTAAGATTCACGAATGTGATACTGAACTATATGTATCAGATTCCTAATACAGAACTGATAGTGTAGCAACCATATCATATCATATCATATCATACTCCCTTTAAAAGCACGAGTTCGAGAAAATCTTTCGGCAGACAAAAATACCCTTGGAATTCAAATATTATCCCATTAATTAAGAGTAAGTTGATAAATTGATGAATTCTTATTGGATATCTCCTGTTTGCGAACAAGCAGCCACAGTTAACACTAATGCATCTTCTTGGCCCTCGTCATCATTTCCATACTTATCATCATCATGGCTTTGTGCTCCTACTTTAGATTCTTATGAAGCATCATCCTCATTGATCAACGTTCTTCCACCAACATCGCAGGATGACGGGACATGGGAGGATTTGGACATTGATGTTAGTACTGTCTCTTATTTGGATGAGTTGATGGAATGTTTCACTGACTCTTGAGTTCTTATTGTAATGGTAATATTGCCCTTTTTTTGGTAATACAATTTGTTTGTTCATTCTTTTAACTGGGTGTAATCTGGTTTGTTGTTTATTGCTTTGTTTATCCTGTGCTTCTTAATATTTATAGCTATGTTACTCCGCGAGAATTGTTCAGATTATGATAATAATTAACTTTTTATGTTTAATATCTGCATTTTGGATGTGCTGATTACGACATGTTGGACCCAAGCTTGAGTTCTGTGTGTTTTAGCAAATACTGTTCACGAGTCATGACACTTGTTCTCCACCAAGATTAAATCCAACCAATGTGAATCTTTATTTTATCCATATTTAATAAAATAATTTCGTGGTCTTATTATTCTTTTGAACGAAGGTACTCCTTGAGCAAAAAATTATGAACAACATTTTCTTCTTGGAAGTAAATTTGCAACTTTAGATCTTGCAAATGATGATCGCATAACTTAGATGGTAGCAATCTGTAATTATGCAACCCATTGCGCAGTTGGCAAATGACCTGAACCAAAATCATATAGGTGAGGATAAATTTTCACTAATCTTTTTGTAGTTGTTAATTTGGTAGACTTAATTAGGCGTTTACATGTCAGGATTTGAGTAACATAAACAGAAGTTATATAAGGGATTATATTTAGGGCTTTACATATGCTATAAACATCAAGCAATTCCAGGTTCATTTAGCATAAAAAAAAGTAGAATTAGAACGAGTTATTATCAAGGATGAATCTGATACTAAGCTATGTAGATAACACATTTCTGATACAGAACTGATTTAGCATCTGATATTTCAAATGTTAACAGTTTCAAATTAAGAACTGCGAATTTTAGGAAACTATATCAATAATTCTGAAATCCTTGAGTAACGAGCCAATAAATTCTCACATGGTATCAAATATTTCCTCATTTCAGTGCTCTTGTTTTCAATAGCAGCTATTAGTTTGCTTTTATTCTGCCCTGTATTAACAAGAATATTATTCCAAAATAGGTTGGAATGCTTCAAGGCTAAAAGCTTGTAGAGAATATGTAACGCAGAAGTGTAGTACTTACTGTTTTGCTCTGACAGAGATGGATATATGGGTGCTTATAAATTTCATATTGAAATATGAGAAGCTTTATGCAGCCTACAGTGTCAAACTGTAAACATCAAACGATGTGAAACATATTTATAGTAGTAACTAGACTGAGATATTTAAGATTCACGAATGTGATACTGAACTATATGTATCAGATTCCTAATACAGAACTGATAGTGTAGCAACCATATCATATCATATCATATCATACTCCCTTTAAAAGCACGAGTTCGAGAAAATCTTTCGGCAGACAAAAATACCCTTGGAATTCAAATATTATCCCATTAATTAAGAGTAAGTTGATAAATTGATGAATTCTTATTGGATATACATAGTATAAAGATAATGATATAGTTTAAATTAAAATGTAAATCTAAATAAAATTATTAAATACCAAATTTACAAATGTTTGCAAAATGAATGGCGTATATGCAAAAACCAAATAAATTAATGAGACAAATAATGTCTACCCCAAAGGTCGAACCCGGGAATAACGTAGACCTACAAATGTACATAATGTGGATAGGATATTTACAAAATCCGCCAAACAAATTAAAGAGACAAAAGTCATTCTGAAAATTATAAAAAAGAAAATTTAAGGAAAATAAAAATCATGCTCCCTTTTAAAGCACGTGATCGGGAAAAACTTTCCATAGTCAAAATTACCATATACCATTTTAAATATTTAATTTAAATTATAATCTATCCTAATCATACTTATATCCTATCCTAATACCCCCATGAACTATCTATAGCTAAACAATTTAAATAAGATTAATAAAATATATAAAATTTGTAGTATCAATTTATTACATGAAGTATTACCAAAAAAAGCAAAAAAGATTTAAAAATTAGACAAAATACTCTCAAAAGTTTAAAATTACGCAAAATAAAGAGCTAAAAATTTAGAACTTGGCAAAGAAAAGAGTAATTGTGTGATATTCTTTCATTAAGATATATACATATAACTTATAATTTAAGGTTTACTATCCATTTTCAGAATCTAAAAATAGTCAAGTTGATATTGATAAAAAAATAGTAATAATAACAGATTAAAAATATCCAGTTAAAGAATAAAATTTTTAAAAAATATATATGATAGATTAAAAATTAATGTTATTGTATAAATTAAAATAATTGTATATAATTTTACTAATATGTTAGAGCAGCAAAAATACATAAGTATCATTAATTGATAAAAGACTTAAGCGCTAAAAAAACTGATAAAAGACTTAAGCGCTAAAAAAACTGATAAAAGACTATAATATAATAGCTTAACATTAATTGATTATAATTTATAAATATTGATCTCTAATAGTAATAATATTTATAGGGTAAAAAATTATAAAGATTTATGTATGGAGAATTATTAAAAAATTTAGAGATATTGATGCGGACATCCAGGACATCCATGCACGTGCACGAGACTTTCGACATGTTTATCAGCGCCGGAGACGTCATGTTTCAGCTTTGCATCGGGTCCCTATGATGTGGTTTTAGTAGAGATGGAGTCGAGTCTGTATTTTGAGTTGCTTTGTTTTCTTTTCTTGTTGCTTAGTTTTGCTTAATAAAAGCTTTGTTTTAGTCCCACATCGGATGTGAAGAAAGATTGAACTTTTTGTAAGCCTATTTAAAGGCGGGTTGATTTGTAATCAAGATAATGAATGTTGATAAAAAAAATATTTGAGTTTTCTAAGTAATGAAAATTCTTTCTTTAAGTATTTGGTGTGTGAAACCCAAATATTAAATCTAGGTGTGTGAAACCCTAGTTGTCTACCCTCTCCCCAAGTCCAAACCCTCATTTTATTCAGCCATCATATTACATTCCTATCCTTTCATCACACCTACTCACTTGGTCTCAAACACATCAAAGCCTTCCATTTTTAACAAATTAAAGAAGAGCCTCCACCAGCGCCTCCATCCCCACCAGCGCCAGCGCCTCCACCAGCGCCCCACCGACGACTCAGTTCCACCAGCACCTCGAACAACCAGATCCGAATGACCTACACAACAAGGAATCAGTAAGAAGGTTATATAAGTGAGTCCAAACCACGGAATCTTGCAGGTAGTCTCCTCTTTCAACTATTAGATTAGTGTTGGGTTCATCATTTAAATTACATCTCTGAATTATTATCAATTATCTGCTGTCCACTTACAATTGGTGAGATGTGAGATCTGTTGACTCTATATTTTACTGAATTCTGATATTGAGATTCGAACAATACCACCTTAACTAACATTGCGTTTAAT